TAGTAGGAACGCAGGGGCAGCATATATTCGTCATTTATGCAGATGATTTCAATGTGAAAGTAGGAGGAAGTTTGCAGATGACAGCAGAATTGATGATGTCAAGAACAGCAAAGAGGATTACCTAAGAGTACAATGGGACTTAATCAGATGAGCCAATGGGCCGAGCAGTGGCAGGTGGAGTTTAATTTAGATATATGTGAAGTGCTGCATTTTGGAAAGGCAAATCAGGGCAGGACTTATACCCCTTCATGGTAAGGTCCTGGGGACTGTTGCTGAATAGAGACCTTGGAGCACAGATTCATAGTTCCTTGAAAGTGGAGTCACAGGGAGACAGGATAGTGAAGAAGGCGTTTGGTATACTTGCCTTTACTGGTCAGTGCATTGAGTATAGGAGTTGCGAGGTCATGTTGTGGCTGTACAGGAAATTAGTTCGGCCACTTTTGGAATACTGCTTTCAATTCTGGTCACACTGCTGTAGGAAGGATGTTAAACTTGAAAGGGTTCAGAAAAAATTTACAAGGATGTTGCCAGGGTTGGAGGGTATGAGCTAAAGGGAGAGGCTGAATAGCCTGGGGCTATTTTCCCTGAAACATCAGAGGCTGAGGGTGACCTTATAGAGGTTTATAAAATCACGAGAGGCATGGATAAGGTGAATAGGCAAAGTCTTTTCCCCAGGGAAGGGGGAGTCCAAAAACTGGAGGGACATAGGTTTAAGGTGAGAGGGGGGAAAGATTTAAAAGGGACCCAAGGGGCAACTTTTTCACACAGAGGGTGGTGAGTGTATGGAATGAGCTGCCAGAGGAAGTGGTGGAGGCTGGTACAATTACAACATTTAAAAGGCATCTGGATGGGTACATGAATAGGCAGGGTTCAGAGGGATATGGGCCAAATGGGACTAGATTAATTTAGGATATCTGGTCAGCATGGACCAGTTGGACTGAAGGGTCTGTTTCCGTGCTGTACATCTCAATGACTCTAAGCAGGAGATGTGTTTCTGATGGAAAGCAGGATAAAGGGCTATGGAGGGCAGGCAGGAGAGTGGAGTTGAGGCCTGGATAAGATCAGCCATGATCACGTTTAGTGGTGGTGCAGCTTGAAGAGCTGAAATGCGTACTCCTGCACCCTGCTCCTTGCTCGACGAAACGGGGCTCCTGCCGCTTCTCGTGCATCTTTCTTGGTCACAGGGTATTTCCTGCAGGAATCAGATACTCTCTGATATCGGATTTCGTTGGGTATCTGGCACTATCACATTTGACTATCTTGTTCTCATGCACTAGGCGTTACTTTTAAATACTGAATCACTTGCCTGGCTATTTGGATTTGTTCATGACTGAGCTCTGAAGGAAAGGCACAGAAGCAAATGCTTTATGAAAGTTGACACAACAGTTCAGACTCCTGAGTGAGAGCAGGCTGGTGTAACTATCTGACTTCTGCAACATTCAGAAGTTCCTTTTTTCAGGTGAGATTTTAAACCCGTGCCCTGTCTTCTCTCAGTCATGTACCTGAATGATTCGAATGCACTGTGGAACAAGCAGGGACTTCTCCCCGGTCTCCTGGCCAATGTTAATAAATGAGCCAAGATCACAAAACATCCCACTGCGGTTCGTGCAATCAAATGCAATATCACACCTAGTCCTTCTCTAACAGGGAAACCATACAATCAGAGAGGACAAAGAGGCTATGTGACGCATTCGAACCTGTACAGCCAACAGTTGAGGACTACCTACACCACTCCAATTGTCTTGCACAAAGCCCATCGCCTTGAACGTTCGGGCGCTTTGAGGGCTCAGCCAGGTACCTTTGAAATGCTTTGAGGATTCCTGCCTCAATGACCCTCCCAGGCAGTGCACTGCCACGCACCCTCTGAATGAGAAAGTCTTTACTCAAATTCCCTCTAAACCTCCTCGCTTTAAAAAGATGCCCATTCATCATTCACCCTTCAACTAAGGGGAACAGCGGCTTTCTGTCCACACCCCTCATAATTTTATATACCTCTGTCAAGTTCCTACTCAACCTACACTGCTCCAAACAAACTGAACTTGGGCAGCATTATCTATGTGTCTGCGTCAGTTTCTTCCCACTGTCCAAAGATGTGCGGACGAGGTGGATTAGCCATGGGAAATTGCCCCTAGTGTCCAGGGATGTGTAGGTTAGGTGGGAAATGTGGGGTTACTGAGGTAGGGTGGGTTTAGAGTGATGGGTCGAAGTGGGACACTCTTCAAAAGGTCAGTACAGAATTGATGGGCCGAATTGCCTCTTTCCCTCCTGTGGAAATGCCACGATTCTTCGGCAGCCTCTCTCCACAGCTAAACAGCAGCATCCTGGTGAATCTCCACTGCGATCACATCTTTCCTACAGTGGTGTGACCCGGCCTAAATCCTGTACAGCTCCAGCATGGCCTCCCTCCTCTCGCAAGCACCCTACTCACCTGCCCTGCTACCTTCAGGAATCTGTGGACAATCACTGCCAGATTCCCTCTGCTCCTCTGAGCTTCCGAGTGTCCTGCCATTCATCGAGCACTCCCTTCCCTTGTTTCTTCTTGCAAAGAGCATCACCTCACATTTATCAGAGTTGAATTCCATCTGCCTCTGCTCTGTCCAATCCCCTTCTCTGCTACTCCTGAGACCTTCTTCCTCACTGTCAATCTTCATATCAGCTGCAAACTTACGGATCATACACCATCCCCCCACCACACATTCTCATCTGCACTGTTTTAGGAACAGCACATTGAGCTCCCACCTCACCCTGAAATACAAACATTCCATCCTGGCCGGTGACACACTGCATTTGTTCAGCACCACAATGTCCTTGGGCCAACATCCTTCTGTCAAACACAAAGCCAGGAGGGTGGTGAAGTCAGCTCACTGTGACTTTCAAGATCCTGTTTTGACAATGTGGCGATATTTCATTGCATGGTTCGCTGATAATCGAACACAGAGGAAGAGTAGCGTTCAGCTGAATGGACTCTCTCTTAACCGTCCAATGCAACAGCTCCCTGCAACTTGCACTGATAGCACTTTCTCACCTGGTACACCCGCCTCCTGGAAAGGCGAGTGCACCATCACCAAATTCCCCGCCCCGTCCTACACCATCCCGATTTCAAACAATACCCCCAAAGGCTGCAAGGGTTCAGAGAGAGGTGGGGGTCCACTTTCTCGCAGGGAGGGAGGATCAGGAGGAAACGTTGGTCAAAGCAATCAATACTGACAGCCCCTAAACTAACTAGAAAAAAAATACATGGGCTTCTGCCCCTGCAGCATGTCCAGCAAGAACAGAGACAAGTGTTTTTCAATTCATTTATTTTCATTCATCATCATCACAGCATCCTGTGCGTCTCTGTTTCACAAGCAGCTTTACCCATTCAAGCTCCAGTTCAATTTAAAAAAAAAACCTTTCAAATGTCACTTCCATTGAAAGTAAGTGAATTCCAGGGGAAATAAATACCTGCTCTGGATTGTGTAGGAATTTGAAATCCCAGTTTCACAGCGTCCATTAAGGTGGTGCAGGGTTGTGACACAGTAAAAGGAGGAACCATTGCCACAGGCAGGAGGGTTAGGAAGTAACCAGGAGGGCAGTGTGGTCCAGAAACACAGCCAAATCACAGACTGTCTGTCCAATACAGCTGATCTAGTCTACATGAGCTGAACAGCTGCAGAATATAGACCCCATCAGAACTTCCAAGGGGATTGGGAGCATATTTCAAAGGATGAATATGCAAGTGGACAGGACCAAACCACAAATTTCAACAAGCCAGGGTCTGGGCCAAATCTCAGCCTGTGAACCGTCTGACGTTGTGAGAAGCTAGAGCCTGCACAGTGGAGCAGGAGAGGCAGCGGAATATTGCGCAAGCTGTTAGGTGCAATTGCAGGATGTTATCTTCCTACACTTCCAATCACCCCAGGGAGAAAAGTTAAAACTTGTCCATGTAACGGAGCACAGCACAGCTGAGACCCCCTTCCCGTGCCCTGCCCCGAGACGATAAATGGTTACAGATGTGGGCATCATCCATCGGTTTCAATCTCCAAGTGAGAGTCTACTCGCAACTTATCCACACCGCTCTCAGCCTCAACAAGCTAAAAACCATGTCTCACAGACTGGGTTGGTCACACACTAACAAAAAGGCCATCCAGCACAACATGAGACACGGCCTGGTGGCTGTTCTGTGCACTGTCCATTAATCACAAACTTATTTCACCTCATGAGAAAGAAACGCCATTGGCTGAACTGGGCAGAGCGATATTTCAGGGCTGAGGGGGGGTGGTGGTGGTTATGTGGGCTGTGGGGGGGGGGGCTCACATCATTTACAAATGCAGGGACCCTCCCGTCGCCTCAGAGCGTTGCATATCAAGGTTTTAGAGGAGAAACAAGGAATTCTCTGGGATTGGTTCCAGAGATGGGGGAACTTCCGTTAGATAGAGACACTGAAGACGGTGTGATTATTCTCCTTTGAGCAGAGAAGCAAGGGGTGTATTTATTGGAGGGTTCAGAGGGAGCAAAGGTTGAGCACAGCAACTGCAGCCAAAGGAAATGTTTTCCCAATGCAGGAAAGGAACTCCGGCTGGGGGCTCACTTGCAAGACAATTGGCAGAAGAAGCAGAAGGAAGATAAGGGGAACTGAAAATAAAGTGCTGTCATGACCTGGAATTGACTGCAAGCAAAAGATTGGGCAAAAATCATTCTAAAAAGGAGCTGGATATAAAACTTTGCAAAGGAAAAATTGGTAGTTCTAAGGAACAAGTCTGAAGAATGAGGAGAATTAGATAGATCTTGCATGAGAAAGAAGCCTCCTGCCACACACACACATGATGGACTGACTGGCCCATTTTCTGACAAGAGGAGAAAATTTACTTTTGCTGATTTGAAATGAGATTGGGAGGAACAGATTTGTTAAAGGTCTTGCAGTTGGGGAGGTGAAAGAACAAAGTTATCACAGAGTTGGCTGAAAAACTCTCTCGTGACCAAACAGGGAGATGTGACCATTTCAGTCACCCTGACCCTATCACAACATGAGACTGCCTTTGCCTCTTTCACCCTACCAGCGGCACTCACTCACTCACTGAGGTAGCACCATCTGGAAATACAAAGTCCTGCTTGGTCCTTCTCATTGAACTGCTTCCGAACACCGTTTGAGAAACTTTTGGTTTCAAATGTGTGATCTTCTGCAGAGACCAAGTGGCCAAAACCAAGGGGAGCCATGGACACAGCTCCCTACTTCCAGCCAAGATGAGAAATCCAAGCTCCATGGCCGTGGGAGTGGGAGTGGGAGGGAGGAATAATAAAGGCCAAGGGTTTGGGAGTGTGGGCAGTGCAACTTGTTCCCTCAGCTGCAGGTGACATTCTGCTCCAGTGAAATGTTTCATGTTATTGTGGGAGCTGGGTTCTCCAGGAAACAGAGGCTTGTGAGGTGACCAGACCTGACGTTATCTAAGGGTTCAGACAGAACAAATGGAGAGAGAGAGAGAGAGAGAGAGAGAGAGAGAGAGAGAGAGAGAGAGCGACAGGGATGACAGGCTGAGATCAGAGAGGCAGGGGTAACCCAATATATCCAGGAGGTGGTGAGCCCATGGGGGCCTGAACAGAAATCATATCCAAGGCTCTGAAAGGGGCATGAGGGGGAAATGGAATCGGAGGATACGTGAAGCTGTCAAAAGGGTGAGAGGAGACCCTAGCATGGGCCCAGATGGAGCGAACAGCCTGTTGCTCTGCTGATGGTCTGAATGGAATGCGAAATACAACACAGGGCCTGATAACCTGACAAGCGAACACCTTAAAGAGTGGAAAACAAGCTGCAAACTCTGGACGAGACACAAAACTCAGCAGGCAGCAATGAAGCCCTTACTGCTCGACACGGAGGCCCGCTCAGGCACACAGCCCCACAGCCCCAGGGAACTGGCTGGCTGTAGCTTCAAGGTGTTGCTTAAAACACAAAAATAAAACGTTGACATTTGAAATCTTTGCACGTTGGGAGAATGACGAACTGCAATTTAATCACGAACCGCATAGCTTAAAAGAATGCATCTTTTGTTTGTAAAAAGACAACATAAATAATCCACAGAACAATATCTTAAAACAAGAAAATGTAGAAAAATAGCACAAATCGCGACCACAGCCAACTGATCACAGGGCCATCTGTATCCCAGGAAGAGGAGGGGTCGCAGTCCTGGGAATGGAGGGGGAGGTGGGGATGGAGGGGGTGGGGGTGGGGGAGGAGGGGTTGGTGGGAGGAGGAACTTGGACTTAAGTGCAGCTGAAATGTGGAGAAATGACACTGATGAGAAACCTGGCATTGCCCAACTGTTTGCGGCTCACATGGTGATCGGGAAACCGGGGGAAGCTACTGACGACCTGATGAGGGAATCAGGGACCAACTGGACTGGACAAACAGCTTTGTTCTCCCTCAGCACGCCACGAGAAGCCTTCCCAAAAACGTTAGGATCCAGGCTCCCCAAGGACCAGACCACAGCTGACCCACATGGGAGACTGGGTCAGCGCTGGATATTTGACTGACAGGCATCACCCTATTTCCCAAAGCAAAGGGCACCGGATAGCTGTCGCCGGCAGTAAACTCCTGACAGATCCCCGGGTTGGATGCACAGTGCACTTGCAGGCTCCTCTCCCACACGGAATTCCCTCCTCCTCATCACCACCCAGCCCTGGCAATGTACCCGCGCCCTGAACGTGAGGTGTGGGTACAGGTCACCCCGATGTTCCATCCTACATCCTCCACAATTCCAAAGTGGCATAATTACCCAGAGTGTCTGGGTACACTGATAACAGCAGCATGCCCTGACATGGTGCGTGGGTACAGTGGCCTTGATCAGAAACTTTCCATAGTGCTGAATTCAGGGGAGAAGGGGAGCAAGCAAACACACTGGAAAAATAAAGGAACACATTTAAACGACCAGCCCCTCCCCACGGCCCAAAAATATCTCCGCAACACGGACCTGCCGTCACGAGACACTCACTACTGAAGCTTGTCCACTCAAAGCCCAAGAATTTCATCAATGATTAAAAGCAAGGTTTTACAGAAGAGACCTTTAAAAATAAACTAAACACGAGGTACTATACACAAACTGTACAAGAGGAACTGTCAATTGCACATTGGCTTCTAGCGACACCACACATCACCTTGCCCTCAGTCGCAAGGTGATGACATACAATTATATAACATCAGGAACGGTGATTACAGTAATGCCGAATCCACGTCTGCACTGTTGCCTTTTCTCTGAGCTCTTCCTCCTATCGCACACACCCTGCCTGCTCCATGTGGGCCATGAGGATTCGGTCACTTCCTCACTGGGACAGGGGTACAGCTGGCCGGGACTCTGTGCACTCCCCTACCCTGGCACACAGCTCTGTTTCCCAAACAAGCAATAGGTCATCGGGTCTTACATCTCTGTGGCTGACTCACAGCCCAGCTTGGCTCTGTCATCAACCTGTGGCATCCATTTGGGGATCTGGTGCTGCTTGGAGGGGGGAGCAATGCCACATCAGATTGACATGGGCCCAGGACTGATCAAGGACAGAGCCCGCCGTGCATCCAATTGGTCCCAATTGTAGGGGTGTGTGTGTGCATGTGCATGTGTCTACGTATGTATATATATGTGCATGTATGCGTGCATATGTGTGCACGTGTGTGTACATGTGTTCCCAGAGTTTATTTTAGTTGCTGCTTTGTCTGTTGACGAGATGGAGAATTGGAGATGATCAAAGGATGACAACCTGATTTCCTCATTACCGTGCAGCGAGTGGTCCCTCTCACTACACGTTCACCGTGCCCGTTATCTTCCTGGGAACCACCATGAAATGGGAGAACATTCCCAGCATCTCACTCTCAGTTGCAAAGTTGCAACATGGGACAGATTCTTCATGTCACACAGCTGAGGAATGACTCAAACCAAACCCAAAGTGTTCATTCTCCTGTTTGGGGAAGTGCACAAGTTGGTTGGGGTTGACCCCCCCCCCCACCCCACAAAGGGGCAACACTGGGAAAGCAAGTCTCCCTCATGTACAAGTGAGGCTCCTTTACAGACTGCGGGGTCTTGGTATCACAGGCCAGCCTGGTTCAAACCGGGCTTTACAGCAGCGAAGTAGGTGGGACATGACCTCGGAAAAACAAGCCTGACTCATCTCACCGTCCCTCCCAGTCCAGGACCTCCTCTCCGATTCCCCTGAAAAATACCCAAAAAATAAAAGGACCTCATTCAACCAGCTTCCTCCAGGGACACCAGGACCAACTCCATCTAAAAGCCTGGACCCTTCTGCTTTCTGGGGCTCAGGGAGCTTCTTCCAACTCTAACACTGAGGAGGAGAAACAAACAGAAGAGGCTGCAACAGTACAGATTTGGTCATTTCAACACAAGATCTCACCAATTTCAGAACCGTTTCTCACTGTTCCCTTTTCACTTTCTCCTTTGTCTTGAAAGTTCTTCAAGAGATCAGTCCGTACAAATTTACAAAATTAACTGGGGCTGCGTTGTGTTACTTGGACATGGAGGTGGAGATCCAGTCGAAACATCTTCCATGGATGCAATGATGTGTAGTGGTTCATTTCTCCTCTTCCTCAGGAACACTGTGAGTCTCCACTGAGCAGACACTCACCACTTGCTGTCCCACATCACCTGAAATGAGTCCCCTTCAGAATGACTGCTTCATTTTATGAATACGTGGCTCAGGATCAATTTTGTTTCTTTTTTTTTTTAAGTGCCTGAAAGCTTTATTTTGGATATCCTAAGGAGAATGAAAGAGAGAGAGAGATTAAAACACAAGGACAATTTATTCCATCAGGGCAAAGGGAGCTGGTTGATGATGCGAGGGTCTAAAAGGACAGGCCTTCGAGCTGCTTGGCCATTTGCCAAGGGCTGGTTTTCCACTGGGACCCAGGTTACAGCTTCAGTTTGCACTGGCCTGAGTGAGACTTCCTAAAGAGTGGTCTCATAGAACAGACAACTGTACAGCACAGGAACAGGCCCTTCAGCCCACAATGTTGTGCTGAACATGACTCCAAATGAAACTAATCCCTTCTGCCTGCCACTGGTCCATAATCTCTCCATTCCTTGCATATTCATGTGCTCGTCTAAAAGTCCCTTAAATGCCCCTATTGTATCTGCCTCCACCACCACCCCTGGCAGTGCTTTCCAGACTCCTACCACTGTGTAAAAAAAAAACTTGCCCCTCACGTCTCCTTTGAACTTTCTCCCTCTCACCTTAAATGCATGCTGTCTCGTATTAGACATTTCAATTCTGGGAAAAAGATTCTGACTGTCAATGCGATCTGTGCATCTCATCATTTTATAGACTTTTATCAAGTCTCCCCTCAGCCTGCCCTGCTCCAGAGAAAACAACCCGAGTTTTTCTAGCCTCTCCTTATAGCTCATACTCTCTAATCCAGGCAGTATCCTGGTAAACCTCTTCTGCACCCTCTCCAAAGCCTCCACATCGTTCCTATAATGTGGCGACCAGAATTGAACACAATGCTCCAATTGTGGCCTAACCAAAATCTTATAAAGTTGCAACATGACATCCTGACTCTTGTACTGACTTCCCCGACCAATAAAAGGAAGCATGCCACACGCCTTCTTTACCACCCTATCTACTGGTGGGGCCACTTTCAGGGAACTATAGAATTAAGCGCCAAGATCCTTCTGCACACCAATGTTGTTCAGAGTTTTGCCATTAACCATATACTTATCCTTAACATTTGATCTCCTAAAGTGCAACACCTTACACTTGCCCAGATTAAACTCCATCTGCTATTTCTCCACCCATATCGGCAACTGATCTGCGTCCCACTGAATCCTTGGACAAGCTTCTACACTATCCACAACTCTACCAATCTTTTTATCATCTGCAAACTTATTAACCCTCCCATCTAGATTTTTATTTCGGTCATTTATAAGTATAACAAACAGCTCAAATGACATAGAGTCTACAAACATGTTAAAATAAAACTGCCAGTATGTGGGAAGTGAACTGTTGAGACACAGCAGACGAATAAAAGATCGGCACCCTTGGTTTGAATCCTTCTGAACTTTTCGATTCGAAAGCCATGAAGGGGAATTGGGAGAAAGCAGGATCGAGGATCAGGTGTGGAGAGACTGAATTGTGAAGCTTAATGGCCTGCTCCTGTCTCATGCTTTCTTCTAAGATTTGTAACGATTACGGATTCTGGGAATCACCAAACACCGACCCAGGGATGGAACAGGATATCAGAAAAGCACGGAGGATTCTGTAGGTGCTCCAGTTAAATGATTGACCATTTGGGTAAACCACGTTAGCCAGACAGCTCCCAGTTCTCAATCCAACTGCCTGGGTGACACCGTCTGCCTTTTTAACAGGCAACACTTCATGGCTGGATTTCAACTGAACTGTTGGGCTCGTTACTTTAACTGTCCTCCTTCAGATCAAGAAACCAGAGCCCCCTTTCTCTAAAGGACAGAGACCACAATTTCAGAGATCCCAGCATGGTCAGCTCTGGCGTTACTTACCGTGACCAATCCTGATGATGGGCAGGCTGCACCTATCTAGAAACATAGGTGTACGTGCGGGGTGCTAGCTGTGTACCGTCACCTTGTTCCAAGGGCACATTCAGAAAATCCCAGATCAGGATGGTGTCATCGTGAGAACTACTCACGATCTGGAACTCATCAAACTGTAACCGGAAAACTCTCCCGGAATGCTCCTGTTGTTGTGGGAACACACAAAAGAAAGGCGCATGAATGGACCAGAAACCACTGACGTCACATTCTGCTGCCGAGGCTAACTCGCTGGAATAAAGCTGGAAAGCCAGGTCTGCGACAGCCCTCAAACCCGCTTCCTCATTCCGGAGCTCAGGACTAATACGACACAGGAATCCCACTTCGTTTCCAAATGCTCATCATTCCAAATCCAAACCCTTTCCCACACAGCTCGGAACATCCTCACATCTTGGCACTCACCATATGCATTTGAGAAATATCTAAAAAGGTTCACATTCCTCAAAGTGAAGACATTTCTCTCCAAGTGTGAAAGGCGACTGGGGTTGGTCAGGAGATTGGAACCCGCCTTCCCATTCTCGACGCTCCCAAACAGGGGAGTTAGCTCTCAAGATCCAGTCTGTCAGACCCTCCCAGAATGAGAGAGGCCACACCCAACATCTTTCCAAACCAGAGGCTCATTTTGTTCAGTCACTCTTGCTGGGAAAAGGCTGCAACTTGCTTTTGGGCTGGGTCCCTTTTATACGCCAGTGGAGTGAGGAGGACTTGGGGAGAGGAAGAACATGTCTTCTGATGATGAGATTACTCCATTCCAAGCAATGCTCATGTGATCCTGGGTTGTCAAAGGGACTGGGAAGTGCAGAGACAGAGAATGTAGACAGGGTGAATCCCACTGTTTCTGTCTGTGATAGAGCCTCAGAGACAATCAGCAAGGTTCTCTCTGCAGGAGAACAGTTATTTGTTTCACAATTTTTGAATAGATCCCGGTAATAAAGGCAGGTTTCTGAGAACCGACTGTGTATTTGTTATGTTATACAGCAAAAAAGAACAGACAGAAGACAGCAAGGACAAGACATTGTCAACAGGACAATGCTGTTTCAAGGCTGCCAGAGCCTAGCAGACCAGTGGGTGGGTGGGGGAGGGAGAGTGAATGTCCTCAGGGGACCATCAGGTCAGCTGGAAACTGAGTGAGAGGCTCTGCAGGCGTGTGCTGTATGCAGCATGGGATAGTGCTGCTGTTCAATGCAACTCAAAACCAAACTGGATGGGAAGTGAGAGAGGTGACAAGATGCTGGTCAATGTGGAAACATTGGAGACACTGCCACACTGAGCAGCAAATAATGTGAGTGTTTGTAACTTGGTGTGGTGTTGACTATTTACAGAGAAATTTATCTTTCTTAGCTGAAACCTCCTTTATCTTTTACTTTGAAAAAATATTGTTGCAATCGAAGTTTTAAAAAAAATACAATGATCTCCGAGATTTCTCTGTGTGTTGGATGCTTTTTAACATGTTATCCGTCTCTACAGGAATCATAATAATTTGCAGATTAAAACTGTCTTTATTCCTGATGTCTATCTAGGTTGTTGCTCCGAAGCGAGTACGTTCTTCAATGGTGAAGGAAACCAAAGGTGTGCTGTTACAAAAGGCTGATACCATTACAGCAAGTCTGCCTTCCTCACAATGATGTTAAACTTCATACTGAGGTTTCTAATGGCTTGCTGAATCTTAAACTGAACTTCAAGTACTCGGACTGCAGACAGAGATAAACCCTTAAGCTTCCTCTTGGACGTTCAGTGTGATCAGACAGCAAAGAGCAGATCCAACATGGTAAAGTATCATCTGCTGAAGGGACAGTTGGCATTCACTCAGAAGTGAGACTTACCACCAACGTTCGCAGACAGAGAGTGCCAGCTGGTGAACGGGGATCCAAAGCAGCAACAAGGTCCCAAACTTTAATTTTACTGTAAAACAAAACAGATCAAGAAACGAATTCATTAAACACAAAGACATAGGTCATCTCACAGTTTGCGATTTTCACCTTCCTCAGCCATCGTCATCTACAGTGTCAGACTTGCCTGTATTCCCCACATAAAAGTGCAGGCCATGTGACTGGGGAACATAGATAATCAATGCAAGTGGCTGGACAATAAGATTCCATAAAGGGACCACATATTTTCCCTTACACACTACACGCTGGAAAATGGAAGTTGGAAGCTGCTGTACAGCTAAAAAAAAAAAGCACCAGGAGGGCCAAGAGGATCATGTAATGTACATTTTGGCTGTACAGGGCAGTGTTACTTTCTGGAGCACTTTACGAGAGAGTCGAACCAGGAGACTTGATGTTAAGGGAAAAGTGCCTAATGATAACCTTGGGATTGGCTCAGCTGCAGTTTGTCACAGATGCGAGAGTGAGAGTGTGCACGACGTGCTGCGACACTCGGATACCTGCAAACAAGAGGCAGATCTCTCCATCTCCAACTGTGAGCGAGAAAGAAAGAGAAACAGGAGACCCGAAAGAAAGATCTTTAACAAAAAAAGCCCGAAGTCCATCCAAGCATCAATAGAATCAATGATCAGCCAGCACTTTGAAGCTAACATTGTGCTCATTACATTCCAAAATCAACAGACTCTCCACTTCATCTGGACTTGAATGACAGAATCGGAGTTTTTCCATCCATAATATTCATCTTAAACAGGGGTTATGCCTGTCTTAATTGTGAATGTGTGTATGTGAACTTTTAAACAGATACAAGTTGTTTTGCACAATTGTAAATTAATAAGCTTTTTTTGTGAGTTGTTAGAGAATATGTTTGTTTGCAACAAATAGAATCATTTCTGTTAATGACAAAACTAAGCATGAATTATTTGTATTCTAAATAGGAGTCTGTCAGGCAAATGGATAAACTTGGTTGTTTCCAAAGGTATTCACACATTTCTAAAATGATAGCTCTACAACCCATTAGGGCAATCGCTCCCCAGGTGCGTTGTGGGAACACTCATGCAGCCCTAACACTTCACCACCAATTCAACCCACTCTGCTGACAAGGCCACGCTGTCAGAGGGTCAGCGCCGAGGGAGCGTCGCGCTATCAAACATGAGACCGTCAGTGAAAATATGAACAGCTCCTTCTTGTCTGTTCTACCATTCGATAAAGATTACATCTGCTCCAATTGTGGCCTGTATCCACTTTGCTCTCTTCAAGATGTCCTGACGGTATAACCACACCCTGGGGTAAATCTGATCATTATGGGACAACTGTGACAGTATTTCAAAACCTCCCTCACTGGAGTCAGGCTCTGCCAACGTCCCATGGATGTGAAAGATAGCGCACGAAAGGATGTGAATGAGTGAAACTTGGTGCTTACCCATCGTAGGCCCCACTAACGATTCGCTTGTTGTCAAAGCGAATACATCGAACGAGTTCCTCATGACCCTCGAGAACCCTCAGACAGGCTCCACATTCGATGTCCCACAACCTGCACAGACCGGGGAAGGATTCCAAACGTCAGCAACTAGAACAGGCAAAGCTCTCCCTTGAAACATGTTCCTTCAAACCCACCTCCCAAAGTCTAAGCTGCTGATTGTCTGTCCTGGTGTCTCCTTAAGATGGCCCAGTCAGATTTTGTTTGATAATGCTGCTGCAGAGCACCTGGAGACCTTTCTTTGATTTTGAAGGTGCTATGTAAGTGCAAGCCCTTATTGCTGGGGCTTTCGGGGGCGGGGGGGAGAAGGTGACCAAGGAAACACGCAACTCCTTTCCAGATCACACCGCAGTTCAGCAGGCCACACTGACACCTCCATGTCAGAGGGATTCAGATCCCCGCACAGCACAAGGGAAACACGAGAGAAAAATGAGATCATCAGCCATCCAGGAGTAGGATAAATGCTCGAATCTATTATAAAAAGATGGCATACATCTGATTGATAGTGATCTGATTGAGTATAGTGAGCAAGAACGTATGAATGGGAAATTGTGTTTCGTCAACTTGTTGGAGCTTTTTTGAAGATGTTATGAACAATATCAATAAAGGAGGACTGATGGATATAGTATACTGAGATATGCAGAAGGCTTTTGATAAAATCCTCCATAGCAGGCTAGTTAGAAAAATTAAAGCTCATCGAATAGAAGGTCATGTACAGAGAGAGATGAATAATTGACCAACAGACAGAAAACAGGAAGGAGGAATAAATGAGTAATTCTCATGTTGGCAGGCTATGGCTAGTGGGGTACCACAAGGATCAGTACTTGGGGTCCCAGGGTTTACAAGCCATTTCAGTGATTTGGGGTGGGGACCAAGTGTTATGTTTCCAAATCTGCAGATGATACAAACTTCAGTTGCGAGGAAGATTAAAAGCAGCTTCACAAGAAGTTGGACAAGCTGCGTGAATGAGCAAGACCATGGCGTTGGGCAGGGGGGGGGAACATGTGAGGTTCTGCACTTTGGCTGGTAGGAAGCAGTAACCTGGTGTGGGGATTGTAGTTTGCGATCAGATAACGAGACCTGTGACAGGCTATGAAAGACGTACCGGATTGTGTTATCAGAGGAACCGCTGACCACGAGTCTGTCCCTGTACTGCAGGCAGGCAATGCCCCGTTTATGGCCATTCAACGTTCGCACAAACTCACAGGAACCAGTGTTCCACACCTAGAGAGACAGAGAGAGAGTGCGAGAGGTGAGAGGTGCGAGAGAGCGAGAAAAGCTGCCAAAACAGTTTACAACAACCCAAACAGCAAGTGTGCAGTTCTTCAAATATCAGGAGGGAATCTGAAGTGAGGAGAAATATCAGAAGGAACATTCGCACTGAGCTTGGGATAGTACTGATAAACGAAAGAACCAACAGAAAGCAGCCAACGGTAAAAGGGTAAGAGCTGCTGCAGTTTTATCTCACTGCTGAGTGCAGAGTGGATACAGAGAGAGCTGGATGATGGCCTTGCCTTGTAAACTCAGGCTGTCATTCAGGGGAGTCTGTTCCCACAAACTTAAGCATTGATTCCGAGCTGACAAGAGCACTCTGCCCTGTCATCATTGGTATCTTACACAAGGTGTCGAAACGTAAAAGTTTCAAACAGGAATGGACAGTTTGCTCTGTGTCCTGAGCCAATATTTGTCTCTGACCCAAAACCGGCCAAAGAGTTAATCTGGTTTGTATCTTGTCACTGGTTTTGGCAGTTTGGTGTCCATGGCTTTCACTCAAGTGGCAGTGACTGCGTTGCACACAGGATAAACTGGCTGTGCAGGAGAACGGGATGCATTCTGACAATTTACTCTCTGTTTCATCATACTCAGGCCACAGGCCATTCACACTTTAGCCCCTTGTGGGCAGGCACAGACTAAAACCAGCGTGGGAGCTTGGCAAATGTAGCACGACACAAAACGTGCCACTTTCCAGATTCCAAGGGATTCTTGGAACTCTTCCCAGTGAGAAAACGTTGGGGGAACAGAGCGATCAACACTGGGAGCTGAGGGCCAGAGACAGGGAATTTGTGATGGTCCCGCACCCAGTCAGTGCCTGGAGGTGCTGGTCTAAAAAAGTGCTGATGGCAAAGGCAGAGCCAAGAGTTGGATAGCGGGCAGCCATCCGGTCATACACTGTCAATACTCAGCAATCAAACCAGGATAGGCAAATGGAGGGGGGTGTCTAACTGAGCCAAGAGCAACAGACCAAGCTGGAGGGCCTGAATGAGCTCGTCGTGTTTGAAGAAATGGTACCTATCTGGGAGAGAACGGGAAAGGATAGATGGACACACCCGAAAGACAGGAACAACAAAATGGATCTTACTTTGATCGTCCGATCTCCTGAAGCCGATACAATGTACTTATCATCGAAATCAACAACGTTGACGGCTGCTCTGTGACCGACCAGGACCCTGCGTAAAGTGATGTCCGTGGACGTGCTCATATCCCACACAGCGATCGATCGATCCTTGGAGCAGGTGACCATCATTCCATTGGTGAAACGGAGATGGAGCACAGCTTCACAGTGATGGATCAGTGTGTTTAACATCTCACCCGTTCCAACATCCCACACTCTGCAATGGTCAAACCCAACAGACAGCGAACAATGGTCAACCAGAGGCGTTCAGCTCGGGGTGGGGGAAGAAGCAGAGGAGCTGGGGGTTAACGGGGACAGGGGGACAGAGGGACAGAGACAACAGTATTGCTGTAGTTGAAACACAGGCCCTTTCACCTGGAGGAGCTTGACTATGAAAGGATGAGTCACTGCGTTCAGAGTGACCTTCTGGCCAGTCACACAGTGCACCCTCACTGCAGTCAAACAGTGCATATCACCAAGAAATAGGAACATCACAAACTACTCCAGCCCTGTAAACCTGCTCCACCATCCACTGACCTGACTACGAGCCAAACTCCAGCACCCACATTAAACTCAACTTGGCTGTTCATCAAAAACCTGACAATAAGGAATTTAACAAAACTCAGCAGGGAGACAGCCAGTCACTCCCTCTCTCCACACTCCCCTCCAGCTCCACCACACCCGGCACTTTTCCCTGCAACCGCAGGAAGTGCTACACCTGCCCCCATACCTCCTCCCTCACCCCCATCCCAGGCCCCAAGAAGACTTTCCACATCAAGCAGATGTTCACCTGCACATCTGCCAATATGGTATACTGCATCCGCTGTACCCGGTGTGGCTTCCTCTACATCGGGGAAACCAAGCGGAGACTCGGGGACCGCTTTGCAGAACACCTACGCTCGGTTCGCAACAAACAACTGCACCTCCCAGTCGCGAACCATTTCAACTCCCCCTCCCATTCCTCAGACGACATGTCCATCCTGGGCCTCCTGCAGTGCCACAACGATGCCACCCGAAGGTTGCAGGAACAGCAACTCATATTCTGCTTGGGAACCCTGCAGCCCAATGGTATCAATGTGGATTTCACAAGTTTCAAAATCTCCCCTCCCCCTACCGCATCCCAAAACCAGTCCAGCTCGTCCCTGCCTCCCTAACCTGTTCTTCCTCCCACCTATCCCCTCCTCCCACCTCAAGCCGCACCTCCATCTCCTACCGACCAATCTCATCCCGCCCCCTTGACCTGTCCGTCCTCCCTGGACTGACGTATCCCCTTCCTAACTCCCTACCTACACTCACCTTTACTGGCTCCATCCCCGCCTCTTTGACCTGTTTGTTTCCTCTCCACCTATCCTCTCCTCTATCCATCTTCTATCCGCCTCCCACTCTCTCCCTATTTATTTCAAAACCCCCTTCCCCTCCCCCTTTTCTGATGAAGGGTCTAGGCCCGAAACGTCAGCCTCTCTGCTCCTATGATGCTGCTTGGCCTGCTGTGTTCATCCAGCCCTGCACCTTGTTGTCTCTCTACACCCAACGTGGTTTGTACACAGCAGCAACGCCAAGGGCCACATTTAGCCAACTTCTGCAAATAAAAACCAGCACACACCTGACTGTGGAGTCTGAGGAACCAGTGATAATCACTTTGTCATCATATTGTAGACACAGCACAGAGCCAGTGTGTCCTGTCAGAACATTCTTACATTCCAGTGTGTTCTTATCCCAAATCTGAGGAGGAAACAATCAGAGATCACCATGCGGTTACTGTTCAGTGTCATTTCCAATTCCCTATTTCAGCGGCTCTTCAGTTCGCCCAGACTGGTGACTGACTGCATTCAGACCATCGGTAAATGCTCCCCCATTCCCTGGCTGGTGCACGTACCTTGATAGTGTTGTCTCGTAGACCACTGATGATTTTTTCATCATCGTACTGTAAACAATAGACACCTTTGCTAGTTTCGCTGTGGCAGTGTATACGTTGTAAACCATGGTGCCCACACCTCCAGTTGGATTCAATGGTCTGAAAGGAGACACAGACTTGCCTTTTATCTGGTCACAGGTAGCTTGTGCAATCAGCTGGTGTTATTTAATCTCTCCAACCCATCACTGACCTGTCTCTTGTTCAAAGTCATCACCAACCTTTACCCCCGACTCAAAATGGTTAAAATCCCCAATCCACATGATTCGTGATAGTCAGCATGGATTTGTGAGGGGTAGATCATGCCTCACAAACCTTATTGAATTCTTTGAAGAGGTGACCAAACACGTGGATGAAGGTAGAGCAGTGGATGTGGTATACATGGATTAAAGTTGGGCGTTTGATAAGGTTCCCCAGGGTAGGCTCATGCAGAAGGTAAGGAGGCATGGGATAGGGGGAAATGTGGCAGATTGGATTCAGATTTGGCTGACCCTTAGAAGACCAAGGGTGGTAGTGGACGGAAAATATTCAACATGGTGCTCAGTTACGAGTGGTGTACCACAAGGATCTGTTCTGGGTCCTCTTCTATATGTGATTTTTGTAAATGGTTTGGATGTTGGAGTGGAAGGGTGGATTAGTAAGTTCACGGACGATACGAAGATGGGTCGAGCTGTGGATAGTGCAGAGGGCTGTTCTAGGTTACAAAGGGACACTGATAGGATGCAGAGCTGGGCTGAGAAGCGGCAGATGGAGTTTAACCCTGAAAAGTGTGAGATGATTCATTTTGGAAGGACAAACTTGAAAGCAGAATACAGGGTTAACAGAAAGATTCTTGGCAGTGTGGAGGAGCAGAGGGATCTTGGGGTTCACGTCCACAGTTCCCTGAAAGCTGCCACCAGGTCGATAGAGTTGTTAAGAAGGCATATGGTGTGTTAGCTTTCATTAATAGAGGGATTGCATTCAAGCGCTGTGAAGTTATGCTCCAGCTATACAAAAGCCTGGTTCGGCCACATCTGGAGTATTGTGTCCAGTTCTGGTCGCCTCATTACAGGAAAGATGTGGAAGCGTTGGAAAAGGTGCAGAGGAGATTTACCAGGATGTTGCCTGGAACGGAGGGAAGGTCTTACGAGGAAAGGTTGAGAGAGCGAGGGCTTTTCTCTTTAGAACGACGAAGGATGAGAGATGACTTGATAGAGGTGTACAAAATGATCAGAGATATAGATAGAGTGGACAGCCAGAGACTTTTTCCTAGGGTGGAGGTAGTTATTATGAGGGGGCATGGTTTTAAAGTGCGTGGAGGTAGATATAGGGGAGATGTCAGAGGTAGGTTCTTTACTCAGAGTGGTAGGGCCGTGGAATGCATTGCCGGAGAGGGTAGTGGAGTCGGCCTCATTAGGGGCATTTAAACGGCTATCAGATAGGCATATGGATGATAGTAAAAGATAGGGGCGGAGGTTAGATTGATCTTAGGATTAGGGTAAAAGTTCGGCACAACCTCGTGGGCTGAAGGGCCTGTCCTGTGCTGTACTGTACTGTTCTATGTTCTATGTCCACCCACTGCCGACGTACCATCAATAACTCGGAGCATGAGCTCTTCCTCTCGCTCTCTCTGCTCATGCTACTCTTCCCATTCTGTAGCTTTTCATTACTGCAGGCTTGCAGCAGCCACAGTATTTTGCTTTCACTGACAATTCCTGACTGCTCCCATCTGCTTGCACAACACCATGGTCTGTTAGAGATAGTAGGAACTGCAGATGCTGGAGAATCTGAGATAACAAGGTGCAGAGCTGGATGAACACAGCAGGCAAAGCAGCATCAGAGGAGCAGAAATGCTGACGTTTTGGGCCTAGACCCTTCTTCAGAAAATGCTGATGCTGCTTGGCCTGCTGTGTTCATCCAGCTCTACACTTTGTTATCTTACCATGGTCTGTTATCTTCCTTTCCCCTGCACGACTGTCAGAACTACTTTCTGCTGAACACCTCACACACTGGCCGTTTGAGAGTGAAGACAGGAAATGGAGACGGAGATCTGGAGAAGGGACGTCAATGACCCTGCTGTAGAACGATGCAGAATACCATCCCTCATTCCTCAAGCCCAGCAAAAACCCCATCCCTACGTTTGTGGGTCACCTTCTCCCTGCTGAGTTTGAGGACTGCGGTTTCAAATTCCATTCCAAAGAGTTGAACAATGCCAGTGCAGTACTGAGGGAATGCTGCCATGTCGGAGGTGGATAACCCCTGGAGAAGCGCTGGAAAATTCTCCCCAGTTTCATCCCAGAAGCAACGGCAGGGGTTGTCTGGCCATTGCTCTATCAGCTCTTTGGGAGATCTTGCTGAAATTAACTGGCTGCATTTCCGTGCCGTGACACGCAAACACCCCCTTCTTTCAACAAAACTCAGTTTTCTCAATGACAAAGCAGCTGCCTCTTACCTCAATGTCCTGTATTATCTGGGGATACAGTGATCTGTAGAAGGAATCTGGAGGCAACATTCCATCAGAGGGCTTGTTTTTGAACAGATACTGGATCCTGCAACGTAAAAAGGTCCATGAGGATCAACGTTTTGACATGAGAATCTCTGCCACTTCAATCAAAAACAGTCCACAGCAAGGCCATTCAGCCCCTCAGACCTTCTACATCATTGAGCAAAGTCAGGTCTGATCCGTGACCATATTCCATTCCTTTCCATCACCTCTCCCAAGTTCATGAAAATCTTGCTGGACTCCCTCAGATTCTTACTGACTAGGGAGTCCAGCGAGGGTTCACCAGATGGATTCCCGGGAGAGGAGGACTGGCATTTGAGGAAAGACTGGAATCAACTGGGCTTGCACTTGCTGGAATTTAGAAGAATGAGGTTTATCGCAGAGAGGGAGCAGCTAGCCAGTTATTTGTAGCCATGTTATAACTGATTGATTCACTGAAGACAAAAACCCACAGGCACAGGCAATACATGTAAACATCAACCACAGATATCATTGCTCGCGAGTGTTACAGCAGCTTCATACCGAGTTATTTTGAGTTGGAAGGGTGACTTTTTAAATTAAAAAGGTCAATGAGATCTTTCTGCTGACAAGGCATTTTTAGAAGCATTTGGACAGGGACATGGATGGGCTAGGTATGAAGGGATATGGACCAAAGACAGGTACACGGGACTAGTTTAAATTGTGAAAACTGAGCGGGGCATGGACAGGTTGGGCAGAAGGACCTGTTTCCATGCTGTAGACCTCTAGGATTACAATGCTCTCTCCATCTTTTTTTGCTGTCAAGAACGAAGCCTTGTTGTACAGAAGCTTTTGTCCCCTCTCCACTCTGCAGTCAAAGTCTGCAAACAGAAATCCTCTCTTTGGCCTTGAGCAGGTACGTGTCTTGGGTTATGTTCATGTTCCAAACTCAGGCCGTTAACCACTTTTACATCATCAGCAACAAAAACAGAAATTGCTGGAGATGCTCAGCAGGTCTGACAGCATCTGTGGAGAGAAATCACAGGTAACGTTTCGGGTCGAGTGACCCTTCCTCAGAACAGGGGCAACAATTAGACACACAGCAGCTTCACCAATCAAAACCAGATCGAGAAGGTTTCTACTCTGATTGTGCAGTGCAACAAATAGCCGGAGCAAGTCATAAATCTGTCCATCACATCTGGCACCTTCAACCCCCTCACTTCTCCGCATTCCAGCTCTTGCTCATTTCACGCAGAATAATATCCTGACCCTCGGAGGGATCATGTAGGGAGACTCCCACTGTGGTGCCCCTGGGTTCAAGCCCCACCTGCTCCAAACAGTGCGCCATGACATTGCCAAGCTCCAGCAACATAGAGGCTCTGGGTCCAAGAGAGGGAGGACAGGAAGGATTCAGACCCTGATTTGACCTTTGATGAGCATCAGTTTAATTCTGCATCTGTTACATACACAAGAACCAGTGAGAGGCTGTACAACAGGAGACATGCCAGCATCTCCTCGATCAGGCACTCGCAGCAGCCTGCAGACCCTGACCCCGACCCCC